AAGTACACTTTAATGATTATAGATTTGAGTGTGGAATATTTTGCCTGATTTTTGTTTCATTGCCTCTTTGTCTTTGGAGGCCTGTCAGATGATTTGGGTAAGTATCATGGGTGAATGTCTTTGTGTTTGCTCAGCAGAGAACAACAGTTGCAATATGTAAATAGGGTGCCTCTTCCCTTTGGATGCCTTGGGATATGTATAATAGATTAAGTTGGCTTTGTGCAGAGCAAACAGGTCTGTATTACCAAGAATATGAATGATGTCGGTTTCCATAATTGCTAACATCTGGCTTTCCATAAATCTGTTAAATTGCATGGAAGCAGAATTAGATTTCTGTGTCATAAGTAAAGCAATTACATGGAACTCTGTAGGCAATATGGTCCTATATTCAACTGTGAAATCCTTTCATTTGGAGCAGCAAAAGCAAATCCAGGTTTAGTCCCCTGTTCTTATTGCACACACTAGGTGTGTTCATCTTTATGCTCAGGTTTCATAATTGATGAGAGGGACACACTGCCAGGATGCTTGCAACTTTGTAAATGAGAAAAGTAATCAAATGTTAGAAAAGGATGTTATAGCTGGCCATTAATTGCCAATTTAGAGGGGATTTCAGAGAAGACCGTAAGTTAAAGATTCTTTTGCAGCCACTGGCTGGAATCTTGAAATTACTCTTCCAGAGAGTGCCTTGTTAATGGGTCTTCCTCTGCTTGTCTTCATGCATTTGACAGGAAACTGGAATGGGGAGGGAGGAGGGAAGGTTGCCTTTCTACTTCATGGTGGTTACTATTTTGTCATATTTATTATACTATGAACCAGACTTATTTGCTTTCCCAGATGGAAGCTCAATAAAAAATGTGTTCCCTGAAAAGGGAAGGTGGTGGTTATGTCTTATGCTTACTGAAAACCCAAGAGACCAAATTTTAGTAAAAAAAGCTTTATAATAGTAATCCGATAACTTCCTGGATTTAAGTAAGTTAAGTGAATACATTGTACAACCACAGTGCATTCTGTTGTACCTGGCACTGAGAAGAGAATAAGGAAAAAAGATTTAGTCCTTGCCCTCAGTGAGCTCACTATCTATCTATGGGGATGGGTATATTAAGTGTGCAAGAGCTAAATGCAAGGATAGCATTGTATATAGAGTACAAAGTCAATAGTGACTGTTTCACAGAATGAAGAATGGTGATGTTTGATCTTGATTTTGAACACTGCATAGGAATGAAGATAGCATAGGAAGGGTACTGCTTCCTTTATAAATTAATTAATTTATACACCAATCCATTCCATGCAGACTAAGAGGAAGTAGAGCAGGGGGAGGGAGAGTACTCCCATAATAAGAAAAGGCATGTCCAGGGCACAGACAGAGGAAACAACATGGACTGTTTGTGGATAACCCATTGCTTTTGAGCAAAAAGGGGAAGAGACAGAAGCTAACAATTGAAATATTAGATCAAGGCTTATATGCTGGGAGCTTCAATCATCTATTATAGACATCAGAGGACCATTGAGAAGTGGTAAGCAGATGTGTGACATGGACAAATTTGCTTTTTAGAACACCACTCCCCTGCAGAAGGTATTTAGAGCAGTCATTCTCATCTGATGGAACAGAGCCCCAGTATTAATTGGTGTAAACCAATTAAATCAGTCTCTAGTGGTAGTGAGCCCAGACACCAGTAACTCCTCAAATGTGTCTACTGAGCTCACAATTAAAAATCATGGGATTAGAGCTGGTGTCAAGAAGACCAGATAGGAGGCCACTGTAGTAGTCAGGGACTAGTGTGAAGGACTGAGCTAAGAGAGTTCAGAGAAATCTGAATTTTATTTTTTATTATTACATGTGTTATCTATCAAGTTACTGTCTATCAGTATCTCCCAGACATCCAAACTAGATTGTAAATGTGATTAGAGAAGAATAAGACCAAATGTTTTCATTGCCACTTTGAGCAAAAGCCAAGGCGTGAGAATAATGCAAACATCGCTTTAGTATTGTTCCAAGATAGGATGTACCACCAATAGTCTCACTTCAGTGGGAGTTCAAGTAAGTGAGTGGTTACTATGAATTTGCATAATATTGGCAGATGCTTAATTGAGGAGGTAGGGCTTGACTTTGTCTTAAATATCTGACTTCTTTACATCAAGAAATACGTGAGTTATGTTATCTACAGTTTCATTTTTAAAAGACCAGAAATTCATTGAGTATGGTTTTAAACAGGGGACAGATAAGTGTCAGAGAGGCTAAATAATGTGACCAAGGACATACAGTGATGTGTAAGATGCCTTAATAGTAAGCACTCAATTAAATGGAGAACTTGTTTTCAAACATGGGTCACCTGACTCTCACATTCAATGCCACTTTAAATTGAGAAGAGTTAGAGGAAGAGGACTGGGGAGACGAGAAAGGTTTCCAGGTAGGAGCAGCATATGGTCAAATGTGTTGAGAATAGTACGGGCATGATGAAAGTAAAAACGTAACTGAGGTCAGATTGAAGTTGACTTGAGATCTGGATATTGTAATTTGGGTTCCTTTCCACAGTTTTTAAAAGAGGAATCATGGGGCGCCTGGGTGGCTCAGTCGGTGGCATGTCTGACTTTGGCTCAGGTCATGATCTCGCAGTCCGTGAGTTTGAGCCCCTCATCAAGCTCTCTGCTATCAATACAGAGCCCACTTTGGATCCTCTGTCCCCCTCTCTCTCCAACCCTCTCCTGCTTGTGCTCTTTTCCATCTCTCTCAAAATAAATAAATAAACTTAAAAACAAAAGAGGAATCATTGTTCACTAACTAAATGTCTTGACTGAGACTACATTTGATGGGACAAAGACAAAAATAAATCTTGGAATTTATTAGCTTCTCAAAATATTATTTGAACTCTGTAACATTTTCTACTTTGTACCTTTGCTGTGAAGCCAAGTTTTGTCACAGTGCATGCAGTCAGTAATGGAAGATAGGTCATTTACTTTTCATTATTTTTAAGTCACAGTAGTTGCAAAATTATAGAAAATTTTGAGTAATTATGTAATTCTCAGAATTTCAACTAAAGATACTAAAGAGGATCCATATAAGATGCTTGGAAGTGAGTTGCAATATCTAGAGAGTTAATAGTTGAAAGTAGATAAAACCACAGAACATTCTAGTTTTTGAAAAATGACTTTAGACCTTGAGTTCGTACAGAAAAGAATTCTAGAGCATGTATTAGAAGGCCCAGGATACAACCTTTGCTCCAGTGATCACTTATTCATCTCTGTGCTTTAGTTTCTTATTTTGTAAAGTGAAAATAACTATTTCCATCTTGCAATTATATGGCATAACTCATGGAAAGCTTTGAAAAACACTTCAAAATAATATATAAGTACAAAACACTAGCAGTAAATAGATATTAGGTCTTTAAGCACTTTATTGCTTTGAGCACTTTAGGAGAAAATGCCACTTAGAATTTTTTTTTTCTTTCACTCATAACCCTTAACCAACCTTATACATATTTAACATGAAATTTAGGAAGTAGAGTAAGTTAAGTCACACTGTTCTTTTTTTTTTTAAGTCTGTCTGTTTTTGAGAGAGAGTGGGGGAGGGATAGAGAGAGGTGGACAGAGGATTTGAAGTGGGCTCTGCACTGACAGCAGAGACCTTGATGCAGGGCTTGAACTCACAAACCGTGAGATCCTGACCTGAGCCAAAGTTGGAGGCTTAACCAACTGAGCCACCAGGAGCCCCAACTTACACTGTTCTTATTTTAACTTACTCTAGGGGTTAAACTTCTCAATCAGAAGCCTAACAATAGTTGCCTATATGTCCTTCTAGTGTTTCTCCTTATCCCCTTTATAAGGACAATGTCTTACATGGCATTGACAACATTTATCATACCTAGTGTTCAAAAAACCTTGTGCACAGAAAACTTGGTAAATATTTATTGGAATCAGTGTTACCATCTGAAGGATATTTGAAGGACATGGCAGTAGCTTAATCAATGGAGTAGGAGACTCTGATAAACAAATGACTGTTATTTTGAAATAGTGTAGATTGTCGTAAGAAAACTCAAGTTGACTTTTCTTGAGAGGTCTCAGAACTAGCACCAATAAGTAGAAGTTATTGGAAAATATATTTCATTTCATGTAAGGAAGACATTTCTAAAAGAGTTATGCAATGGAATTGGCTGCCTTTTGAGTTAATAGATTGCCCACTGGGAAAAGGCTCAATCCAGGACTGGACAGCTATGTGTTTGAGATGTTGTTAAGGTCACTCAAGCTTTGAATGTCACGGAATGCTGACTGGACTGATGCTTTCCTTCCATATTTAGCTGTCATTCAAAAATGGCAAAATATATGTGTGTCTTCCATCAGCATCCATGTTATACGTACTATAGCTCTAAGATTTTTTTTTTTTTTTTTTTTTTTTGGTGGGGACCAAAATGCTTCTGAGCGTTAGAATGGACAGGATTTGATTAGGCAAGGCAACTACCAAGAATTAGTCCCTCTTCTTTCACTCTTGGCTCCAGGATCTGGGGGCACTCTAATTGGTTCAAGGTTGTTTTAATTGCCCACTGATTCCTACTCAGTGGATAATCTATTCCTATCTTTTCTAAAAGACCCAGATCTGCATAGGGCAAATCCGCACTGTTAATGAATTAGCACTATTTATGGCCTCTGGATGGTACAGCTCTTGAGAATATCCTAAAGCTAGTTTAGAGCTGCTCCTGGATAATCTAGTGATTGGAGTCCAAGAGCTGCAGGTTTGAGTATCAGACCTGCCACCTATTAGCTATATGACCATAGGCATGTTATTTCATTTCTGCGAGCCTCAGCTTCATTATTTGCAAAATAGAGATAGGACTAGATTTTCCTACACAGAGCTGCTTAGCAGAGTAAATCAGATAATGCATGTGAACAGTTTGGCACAGTACTTGGCACAAAGTAAATGCTCAGTAATATTGCTATTGTAAATGACTACTATTTTCTAATCACAATCTTGGCTAGAGTCTAAAGTCATGTGCCTTTCTTTATTGCAGACATTGACGAATGTGCCTTAAGAACCCATACCTGTTGGAATGATTCTGCCTGCATCAACCTGGCAGGGGGCTTCGACTGCCTCTGTCCCTCCGGGCCCTCCTGCTCTGGTGACTGCCCTCATGAAGGAGGACTGAAGCGCAATGGACAGGTGTGGACCTTGAAAGAAGACAGGTGTTCTGTCTGTTCCTGCAAGGTGAGGCTAATGCAGTGCGGTAGGAATTGTAACTGTTATTTTTCCTCCCTTCACTCTTCTCTTCCGCCCTGCCTCTTTCCCCCAGGTGTTGACGTGTGGGTCTCCTGTAGTTTCTGAAAAGGCTTCACTCATTCTAATCCATGCTACAGCTAATGATGCTGAGTGGCAGGCAAACCTGTTTTGAATTGATCATGCCATTAGTGAGAAGTGAGGTATGCGGTTGAGAAGACTGCAGAGCACGGGGGGGGGGAGGGGGGGGAGTGGGGCAGAGAAGCCAATGTTAGTGCTCCCACTGAGAGCCTGCAGTGTCCTTCAGGTTGGCTGGGGCAGAGCTTTAATGAGCTCTCATCCCACACTTACACAGACTTGCTGATTAAAACTACTCTTTGTCTGAAATGATCACCTGCATAAACTTGCTCATTTTTGTGGTGACATCATCCAGAAAAGCAAGGCATACAGGCTTGCTTCCAGTGGTCAGAGACAGATGGACCTCTGTTCTGAACGAATGGTAAGGATAGTATGAGGCCTTCTGATAAATGATGTCTTTCTGTTCTCATCGCTGGGCTGGCTATTCCCTACATTAAGTTGTTTGGAAGTGAGTTTAATGCTTATGAACATAAAAGTCCATCATCCCCCAGTTTTGCTTTATGCTTTGCAAAATGGGCCTATTAAAATGTTTGATTTCCTTGTGCTTTATTTCTTCTTGTGTTGATCTTGCTTATTCATTTCCCTTTGATACTTCTTTACGTAGCTCTTGCTTTGTATGTTTATGTCTGTGGATGGGACTTTTTAATCTTGGGCTTTATGGGCATGCGAACCACGAGAAATGTCTTGTTTAGAGAGCTGGTGGTCCTGATAAATTCAGAGAGCTCCCCTCCCTGGAAACAGAGTTGAAATGAACCTTCAAAAGGCATTCACTTCATTCACCTGCCTTGAAGTCTGCCACACCTCCACAGGACCTGGGGGCCCCTATTTAGGAGAGCACCAGTATCAAGTGCTTAGATCATTACTCTGTCATGCTCATTTTTTACCTTACACATACAACTAGTTCCATACATCCAAACATAGGTCCAGTGACCCCATTTACTGAGTACCTCCTATGTTCCAAGCACCCTGTATTTTAAAAATAGCATCACACTTAATTCTTACGGCACAACTTTGAAAGATAAAGTTTCTGAGTTTTAGGGCAAGTAATGTACCCTAAATATCACAAGATATAAATATCTAAGCTTGGACTTGATTTCTACTAGCTTGCCCCAAATTTCATAGTTTTCTTATTCAGCCACAAGGCCTATAACTCTCCACAGATGATATCTGTTGATGTATTTAAAACTGATTAAATAGGCAATCTAATCTGACTGAGCTCAGACTCTAATCTTAGTGCCATGTTAGTGACTATGTGGGGCAGTGCCTCAAAGGAAAAAGTTTTTAACAGAAGGAAAAGCTTGTTGTGGCTTAAAATAGTTGAGAAAGGTATATAGAAAAGGTTGGCAATTAGATCTCTATTTAACCAGCAAAACAAGAAGGAATTCCCTTATTCTTTTCTGGAAAATATTATTTTTCCCAAACTTAAGAGGATGATCACAACCTGACCCGAAATCCTTTTTAGACTCTGTAGAGCCCCAGTCCCTGGAATCAACAAGAGATTTTTGTTGAGTCTTGACTAGTGTGTGAAACCAAAATCTCTTTTTCAGTTTTTGTTTTATTTAGGCCCATGGGAGGGAACTTAGCAATCACTAAAACTTCCCAAAGTTTCATTAATTAATTGTGCTAATGATCCTAGCAGTATAAGTTGACTTGCTCTGTTTTAATTCTTCAAAACCTTGCCAAAGTCAGAGGATTAGACTGAAATTTCACAAAACATGAACAATCCTTGTAACCTTATATTGTTAATATAAGGCACCTCCACCACCACCCCACTACCTTATGAGTAAAGTACAAGGAAGATTTCCTTACCTAAATCTTTTGTTTGTTTTCCAATTGCATTTATTACTCACTACTAGCATAGCTTCCAAGAGCTTGTGGAAGGAGAGGAGGGCTTGGATTTAGGAGATAAATTAAAGGGGTACCTGAGTGGCTCAGTGGATTAAGCGTCCATCTGACTCTTGGTTTTGTTTCAGTTTTGAGACGGAGCTCTCCATTGGGTTTTGTGTTGACAGCGCAGAGTCTAGTTGAGATTCTCTCTCTCCCTCTCTCTCTGCATCCCCCCACGTCCGCTCAACTCTCTTATGCTCTCTGTCTCAAAATAAGTAAAACTTTTCTTTTTTTAAAAAAGAAGCTAAGTTTAAAAAAACTTCTAAAAATTTCTTTAAAATATAAGCTAAATTAAAAATCCTAAATCAAATTCTTTAGGTCATTCTCAAAAAAACGAACTTGTAACCCTTTTTTTTCTATTATCTGCATCTAGAGTATTTTATTCTAATTTAATAAGAAGTAGTTCCAGCAGGGGCGCCTGGGTGGCTTAGTCGGTTAAGTGTCCGACTTTCGCTTAGGTCATGATCTCGCGGTTCCTGGGTTCTAGCCCCGCGTCGGGCTCTGTGCTGACTGCCAGCTCAGAGCCTGGAGCCTATTTCAGAGTCTGTATCTCCCTCTCTCTGACCCTCCCCTGCTCATGCTGTCTCTCTCTCCCTCTCTCCTAGAAATAAATAAAAATATTAAAAAAAATAAAAGTAGTTCCTGCACTTAAGCATCTGAATGGACTATAATGGCATCATCTTCAAGGCTAAGTAGTAAAGTCAAGATTGTGACATAAATACTGGCTTTTTAACTAAACTGGTGTTTTCAAATTCAAATGAAACCAAATCACGTAATAGCAGAATTATTCAAGCCAGCAAAGGGTCAAGGTTTGCTGTCAAAGAAAGCAAAATCAAACAGTCTTTAAGTTCAGTGCAACCCCTACTATTTTTCAGAAAACTAGAACAAATAATTCTAAAATTTGTATGGAACCACAAAAGATCCCAAATAGCCAAAGCAAACTTGAGAAAGAAGAACAAAGCTCGAGGTATCACAATCCCAGATTTCAGATATACCATAAAGCTATATTGATCAAAACAGTATGGTACTGGCACAAAAATAGACATAGGTCAATGGAACAGAAGAAAGAGACCAGAAATGTATCCACACTTATATGGTCAATTAACCTACAACAAAGGCAGCAAGAATATATAATGGTGAAAAGACAGTCTCTTCAATAAATGATGCTGAAAAAATCAGACAGCTACATGCAAAAGAGTAAAACTGAATCACTTTCTTACACTTACACACAAAAATAACTGAAATAGATTAAAGAACTAAATATGAGACCTGAAGCCATAAAACTCCTAAAAGAATATATAGGCAGTAATTTCTCTGCCATCATCCATAGCAATATTTTTCTAGATATGTCTCCTCATGCTGAGGGAAACAAAAGCAAAAATAAACTATTGGGACTGTAACAAAATAAAAGGCTTTGGCACACAGCAAAGGAAACCAGCAATAAAATGAAACAGTCTACTGAATGGAAGAAGATATTGCAAATAATATATCTGATAAAGACCTAATTACCAAAATATATAAAGAAGTGATACTAATCACCAAAAGTAATCTGATTAAAAATGGGCAAATACCTGAATAAATATTTTTCCAAAGAAGATCTACAGATGGCCAATAGGCACATGAAAAGATGCTCGGCATCATTAATCATCAGCAAAATGGCAAATCAAAACCACAATGAGATATCACCTCATACCAGTCAGAATGGCCAGTATCAAAAAGACAAAAAATAACAAATGTTGGCAAGGATATGAAGGAAAGGAAACCCTTATGTACTCTTGGTGGGAATGTAAATTGGTGCAACCACTGTTGAAAACAGAATGGAAATTACTCAAAAATTAAAAATAGAAATACCCTATAATCCAGTAATTCTACTGAGTATTTACCCAAAGAAAATGAAAATGCTAATTTGGAAATATATATGCACTCCTGTGTTTATTGCCACATTATTTACAATAGCCAAGATATGGAAGTAACCCAAGTGTCCATTGATAGATGAATGGGCAAAGAAGATCTAGTATACATATGCTGTATGAAATACATGGAATATTACCCAACTATAAAAAAAGAGTGAAATTTACAACTATATGGGTGGACCTGGAGAGTATTATGCTAAGACAAAGAAAGATAAATACCATATGACTTAACTCATATGGGATACAAAAAACCAAACGAACAAACAAAAAAAGAAACATGCTCATAATAAAGAGAACACACTGATAGTTGCTAGAGGAGAGAGGGTTGGGCAGATGGGTGGAATTATAGACAGGGATTAAGAGGTGTAAATAGTTATAAAATAAATAACATGGAAATGAGAAGCACAGCATAGGGAATATAGTCAACAATAATGTAATATTAAATAGTGACAGATGATGACTATACTTATTGTAGTGAGAGCATTGGGTAATGTACAGAATTGTCAAATCACTATGTTTTACACCAGAAACTAATATAATATCGTATTCAACTATACTTCAATTAGAAATTTTTTAAAAAAATGCTCAGGTGATCAGGGAAAAAAAGTGAAAGCATCATGAAATCCTCAGGCAGTTTCAGATAGAGCCACCTTCATTCAATGATGACCAGAAAGAGTTAAAAAAAAAATGGGAGTTAGTCATAGATATTACAAAAATGAGAGTGTGGAGTACAGATTAAGAATACATATTTGAACAAAATTAGATAATACAGTTGAAGAAACAGTTGGAAAAAACTTCTTTAGACCATCAAAGAAATTAAAGCAAGAATTCAAACAAGATAGGCAAAAAGGCAAGAGCATTAAACAATAAAGAGAAGGAAAGTGGCTCTGGGAGAATGAATTGAGGGGGAAATCTATGCACTATGAAGACTACCTCAGAAGCTTCCTGGAATCAAACTGGTACTGCTGCCACAGAGATGAGGGTGAAAAACCATGAAGTGTGAAAGGGAAAGAGAGAAGAAATATGATTACATGACAGATATGGAAGCTGACA